CTCTGGAACCAGTAAGCCTTCCTGGAAGTCAACTTGAGGAGGGGGATTTTAAGGTTAGCTCTGGCTTCGTCAGCTCAATCCACCATGTGAATACTTCACAAAGTCATTTAACTGCAAATCCAGTGTTTTGGATTAATGCCCAGAAGGCACTTTGAGGAGAATTGGTTTTAGAGGTTGGGTGACACCAGCGCGGGATAATATGGGAGAGCATGGGTGTCTGCTTTTGTCAGACATAATCATAACCAACACAGGAAGGTGACCCAGATAAAACTGCTACTTTGGGCATGTCTGGGGTCAGGAGGAGTAAGAATATGAGCTATCTGTCTGTCAAACCTCCGAAGAGGAAATTCAAACTGTAAAGTTTCCAGGTCGCTTCCTCTTCTTTTTCTCTGAGGAACTGTGAATCTAAATTTCTCAGGGTGGTAATATCTGGTTCTACTGCTTCTCCATCTTTTATAGATGTGTTTATGTGCTCTGTTACTAGCCTCAGGTCCAAGTATAAACACGATTCAGGCCATGATGTCTGCAGACTGAGTAGTTTATATGATGAATGACGTTATGGGACGTCTGTTGTCTGGTGTCTGATAACTTTGAAGTGCTTAATCAGTCATGAATCATCAGTTCATAATGTTTGTGTCACTCACAATCTTAGTTTGCTGATACTTTAAACACATAATACTGTACAGCTGAGGCGGATGGGAATGTCATTAGTTATGCAGGTAAATGGTCATCAACCAAAGTCCTGTACTTGCAAAAAATGCATTCATCTTCAATGGTTCATGAATGTGCAAACCACATTTCATGGCCTATGTCTTATGTGCCTTAAACCTGCATTCTTTCTTAAAGCCAGCAAGGGGCAACTCCATTGTTTACAAAGGAAAAAGTATGATTATATAAAGGTCTATGAGAAAGTTACCCTGCTTCTAACTTGATTTATTACCTTAGTGAACATATTCTTAATGAGTTTATTGATCAATTCTAGGTATTGAAGTCTTCTTCAATATAGAATGATGTTATGCTCAAAGCAAAGCTACCTTGTGATTGACAGGGCGGTAACTTTCTGGATTAGGTCTTGTCCATGTTTCTGTCTAAGAACCTTAACCCTTTCATAGTGTGTTTTAACTTCAGGACTCCTGGTTGCAAAAAACATTGAAAATCAGTGATTTCATAAACTTCTTACATACAGTCGTTCTGGACCCAATAGTCCACCGGCAGCCATTGGCATTGATAGCTGAAAAAGAAAATCAATCAATCGCATCATATCCATTGTATTTGAGCTGGATAAGTCTGGAACCAGATTGGAAGTAACCCAAATAGATGTGAGGGAAGAGGTGATACAGACTGTCTGTGTTCCCGGACCTCTCCCCCACCAGAGGTCAGAGTGTCAGACTCCCCCCTCCTCTGCCTCCCCCTCTCCCTGCCTCACTGTCAGGGACAGTAGGAGAGGAGGACTGTGGAAGACAAGGAGAGTCACTTTCTATTGTTAACATATTTTGGAGCAACGAGGGAGTAATAGAATGAAAAATTATATATTCCCCTACAGCTAGCAGGACCTTTCTCTAGATACTTGGCCTGAAAGAGACTGAAACCATATGTTATTTTCCATGGTTCTTACAAATCTTCAAACAGTCAACAGACTGATTGGACAATGGGCCAGTTGAGCAAGTTTTACAGTATACTGTATCTATATACAGTTCATAGTGTTATTTGTAGAGTATTCTGAATCCAAACTCGTCAAATAGTGCAGCCCTTTGCCCCTTAAGTGTCAGTTTTGGACATGCAGGTCCATTGTAATGGAGGAGGTCTGGTGACCAAAGGTAGACCAAAGCGACTCATCTATAAAAGTAGTAGGTTGTGTTGGACATAAGCAAACATAGGACTTTCCCCTAGGAGATTGCATGTCTCATGTAAAACCAACTAATTGTTTGTGAAACTGAATTTTTAAACTTATGTACGTAACGTAGGATACTTAACATACATCACTTACATAAGGCATTTAAGTAATGTTTGTGAGGTTTATCAGCGAGTCTCATAAAATAAAGAATATGGATGAAATATTCATTATTATTTATTATTTAATTTAGGATGGCAGTAGTTCAGTCTGTAGGGACTTGGCCCGTAAGGACCAAAATACGTAATGTGGACTTGTAGCTAGAGAGGTACCAGTTCACCTCCTAGGCACTGCCGAGGTACCCTTAAGCAAGGCTGAGTTCATGTGCATATCAGCTCTATGTTTAATCTAAATAAAACCAGAGTGAAACCCTGAATTTCCCCTCTGGGATAAATAAAAGTCTGTTGTTCTTTCTTTCTTTCTTGAATGTTGGTTGGTTATCCTGGTGTATCCAGGACTACATTATGGTTTCATGTTGATTGCAACAATGCCATTGTGGCCATAGAGAACACTATAGAGCAGTTGCTGTTGCTCTTGATCAAAAGAGACAAATGCACTTCCCATCCATTGTCTTTGCCACCAGTAAAGTAAGAACTGTCTCTATCTCTTACATTAAAAGAGAATGCAACATATTGTTACATACCTCAAAATCATAAATACATTCTTGGTTTTAAGATGCACTTAAAATTGTGTCTTGTCTCCACCTGAGACTGTATCCTGCATTTAGCAGTACTGTGTTTATGAAGAGAACTTTTCTCTGTACAGTAGCTCTCACCTGCAATTATGTTTTTATATCCTCTCAGTTCAAAGGCTGCGCACATTTCCACACTAAACTCAAAGTGGTAATCCCTGCGATTTTTAGAGCAAAATAAATTGCAGGCTGCGTGGATGTATTTGAAGAACAGGTGGTTTGACTGTGTCTTTCTTCCTCCGAGAGGATTGTAGACTGGCAAAAGGAAATTACAGAGCAGTAACCTCTGTCACTAGCTGTTTCCTCTGGTAGCTGAGGACAATCCAGCGGATTTTTTTAAAGAAGCATTGCGTATACCAGAAAATGCATCTGCCCTTATACTGCTGATGTTGCTGCTCTACAAACCCAACACCACTTTCTGAGTGCACTGTGTTTCCCAGAAGCCAGTGTATCTTTGTCAAACTGTCACCCTCCAGCGGCCGAGTCGTCTTGTCCACACCTCACCCCCACCCCGACAGGGTCTTTATGAAAGTGTCAGTGATGAAGGTGCCTCTGACAGCTAAACATTGTCCTCTGACTGAACGCCCAGCACTCCTGTTTGAATAGACGGGTTTCCCAGGGCACTTTGACTCAAAGCAAACAGCCGATATTGTAGCATCTGCAAATATTCTGTTATAGACCTACATTTATTCACATTACATGCCCTAACTTCCACTGAGTTAACATTGGAAGATGAATGGGAATTGTCTTAAGTTACCTCTTACTAATTTTTGGTTTTTCAGTTTGGTTTGTTTCAGGATAACGGAAAAGCTTCTGGAGGTGGCATGATCAATTTAGTTTTCCTTTCTTAACATGTCATCCTTATCCTCTTCTTCCTTCTCTGCTCTCATGCTTTCACTCATTTCGTCCACAATAATTTTATAGTTCCCCACTCATGGTACAATGATGCACTCCAAGGAAGTATGGGAAGTATTCAGTGGAGGTAGTCAGTGCGATTGCTATCCTCCAAAACAATTCTTAGTAAAAAGAATAATGAACTACAGTCATGAAAGTCACTCTGCTTGAATAAACCAGTCAGAGGCGAGTAATCTTTGCTCCTAACTTACTGTATAGTGTTGGCATGCTAACGGTTGCTAATTAGCACTAAACAGAGTACACAGAACAACTGAGGTGGAGGAAAATGTCATAATTTACAGAGCTGACAACACATTTCACTTTGTTCTCAGGAACTGTCACTAAATAAGCTGAAATATGTGATAGTTTATCTATAAGTTATATCTAAGCTATACTATGGCTACATAGACTTTGTGTGTCTTGGAAAATGTTGAACTCTGTCACATTTGTCCCGTTGTGTAGCATTTGTTTAAACAGAAGCAGATAGAAGTTAATATGCCCAGTGGGAAGCTTCAGTATATTTACACTGGTGTTCATTGCTGGCGATGGTCTTATATATCCACACTTCTCAATGTATAAATATTTGCCGTGTAGCAGCTGCTAGCCACAATATTGACCTTTGGGTAGAACATTGCACTTGAGAGTTTCCTGGCTACGATAAAAGGTCAGAGGTTGCTGATGGTCCTTTTTAGCTGGTATTGTGCTTTGATTAAGACAATGGAGAAATGTGCATTTTTATTTCTTCATTCAATCTTATGATAACATGGTCTCCAAATAAAATATTTAGCACATAAACAAACATAAAGAAAATGTATGAAATTATAAAGTATGGAGGAATAAATGCAATGTTTGCCAGGAAGTAGGGGGAAAACCATACAGGACTGTTTCCATTCAATAGGAGAACCTGTTTGCTATTCTTAATTAATAACAGGTCATAATACTTAAAGTATAAATCACCTTTTTCACTGAGTCAGAGATGAAAACACATCTTGCACATAAGTCAGTAACACAGAGAGTAAATATTTAGATCAGACTTAGAGAATGGATCATTGGATAAGATGAATCTCACTTGCCTTTCAGGGTTTCCGTATAGTGCGGAGTAAATCCAACCAATAGCTGTTGATGTTTGTATGCATACTCATGACGCTGTGGTGCCAAAGTGTTTGTGTACTTGTGTTTTTGTAAGCCACATATGTGCAGCAATGTCCTGGGTGCAGCATGTCCTCAGGTCCCTAGGCAGTACTGTGCCACGTTAAGTGTCGAGCACCAGTGTGTTCTGCCAGTAAGACCTCCAGATACCAGAGAGTTTACAGGACCCTCAGCAGCTCCGCTATCACGTTTCCCACTCCGACATCTGACGATCTGAGTACTTAAGCTGGGAAAGCTCCCCTCCCCAAAGCCAGACATTGTGCAATTTGTCTCCCTCCTCCTGCTGGATGGCAGCTGTTTCCACCTCACTCCCCCAGACCCTCTGCCTCATTTCCCATCATGCAATATAGAACTTCTCCCCTCTGCCTTGCTCACCTTCTCATACATAATGTCCTCACTTTTTCCCTTATTCCCCTCTAGGTGTGTCACCCCTCGCTCTTTATAAAGTGACGACCCCCCCACACACACACTCTTCTTGCCTTGCTTTATCACACACTCCCCACATGCATTCCTGTATGGTGAGCTCAGTGAAAAACACAGACACGTTTACACACTTTCCTGAAATGTGCACAGCATGCAGCTAGAGCAGTATATTATTATTTTTCTGCCTGCATGTATATGTGATACAGTCCTGGTGTTAGGTTTCAGACTTGCTCGAGAAGTTATCTTCTGGCTGGTAATAAAACCCCAAATTGTTTTCTTCACTTCCTAACAGATTTATTTACGCAAATTCCAAAACGTTTTCCTAGTACCCTTATCCGTAGTGGTATCCAGCCAAGCAGAAAAAAGTTTTGGTTCTCTTTGTACAGGTTTGAGATATCCTTCTACCTTTTGAGCCTATTTGAATGATGCCTTTAAGCATCTTTAAGCTTCTTTTCTTTGGTTTTAGGGCCTGCAGCATCACTGATTTGATTAATCTCCCTTAAAAGTGTTGATCTAGAAACAGGGAAAAAGCTCTGATAAACCCACTTTCTTCAAAAGGCCAAAACTAAAAACTTTATTTCATCAAGCGTACACAAAACCTACTGTTGCTAACGTTGCTCTGTTTTTAGATGTAGATGTTTCTGACAGCAGGGAGATGCTGACCAGATGCTGCTACTCTGCCTCCAAACATGCTGACGTTATGCAAACACAGAGCTGCATGCAGGGTGAAATAATGTGTTTGGGTCAAACACAGCACTCAAATCAGCCTCGGCTATTTGCTTCCACAGTGACAGCCAAGTTTGGGTCACAAGCAGCTGTTAAGAGTTATTAGTCGCCAAAAGGGTAAGAAAAAGGGTGAATTACGTCTCTTGAAAGCCTCTTTCATTTTTATGTGAGTCCAACACAGATACAATGTGACATGTGGTTTGATATTGACATGGAGAAAATGTGCATATCTATCAGCGTTGCACTATTGACCCGAGAAGTGTTGTTCCGTGCCAAAGGGGGCGACTATAAACACATTGAGCTATATCTATCGTTCTGACAGGGCCACATGGAAAGTGACAGCTTGACCCACAACCGATGTGGGTCAGCAGCCCCCTGTGGTTGAGAGTGTGAGATAGAAGTATCTGCTCAGGAAAGTGATTAGCTGTTTCCATGAAGCTGATTGTGTTTGGAGAAGGGGGGGGGGACATCGCTGCAGGAATACTGATACAGGAAACAGACAGTCATAGAGACAATGAAATGCAGACTTGAGATGCTGATGATTCTTGACATTAAAACTTGATATCAACAATCACTTTAGCGGTGAGCTGCCAGATCACCGGATATATTTGAGCATCGCTGAGTATGTCAGTCAAAGCGGTGCAAAAGACTTCCCAAGTTTTATCTCATACCTTTCATGTCTTCAACCAACTTATTTATCTGGCAGACTTTGAAGTACGGAGGTTGTGTCATGGCTCTGCAATTTGTTTGTTGGATTTGTTTTGTCTGAAGTCCAAAAGCCCATATGTCGTCCAAAAAGTCCAGAACCTGAAAAGAGTGAAATGATCCAACAACGACTCAATGAGCATCGGACATCTGGAATTATTTCTTTGTTCAAACCAGAGCAACATGATGCCCTGACTCTGAGATCAAAACACAACGTTTTTGTTTATGACAGAATATCCACAGCATTACAGGGGCAATTATAAAAAATAAGGTTTGGCAATCATTCAACTCAGTGCAACCACAGTGATCATTCCACCTGGTTTTAATTAAAAAGCTTTCTTTCACGACAAATGTTTTTAACTTACTGCAGTTAAAACCCTCCACAAACAACCCTCTTACTAGTAAAGGTCAAACATGAGTAAATTTGCCTTTTTGAAACCATGAAGGGTGCTAGTGTTGTTTTTCACTCTGATTCTATGTGTTTCAGAGTATTGAGCGAGAGGAGCCCATAGAGGTGGACCCCACCCCAACACATGCTGGACTGGAGAATGGACACGCTGCTACCACAGGTAACTACGTCACCCGCTGATTTTACACATGAAAGTCAAGCTTTGTAAAGTCTGGAAAAACAACCCTGATGATGTCATAAGGGATTATGGTTAGGTGAGGTGTTTGACGCTTGACTCATACCGTTCTGAACTCAGAGTGTTTGTGTCCCCTGTCTTAATGGAAGTTAAATTCCAAATAACTTACTAACTTTATATTTGTTAGTAGAGTTAATAGGGATGATTAAGGCTTATTTCTTTCTTATAATTGCATGACGTTGGATAAGTCACCCCAAAAAGGATTCAAAGATGCATTATTATAAAATTAAAACACGTGGTGGCACAACGCAAAAGAGCAGTGTGAAATACTCACATGATTTCATCTATTGATGTGTTGTCACGCAAACGAGTTTCCCTTTTTTTCTGTGTCTCAAAGAACGGTTTTTAAAACAATGTATTCAATTAGAAGTACCTTTCATGCCAACCAGATCTCACGGCAGTTGTAGACCATTTATAGTAAGCAACAAATGTATCACAAAACATAACAGTAAAGTTTCCTGTAGTGCATTTTTTACATTTGAATCATAAGGAATTTTTACGGCAAGAACTAAAACAATTGGGATTTTTGTGAGGGAAATTCTGGTGATAATTATCTGTTGGTTGGTTATTCGGAATGGTAGACATAAAAGAGTGGTGGAGTAATCAGTCTTAAAACCAGGAAATTAGTTAGCATTTAACCACTTCCGGTTCTCTTGTCTTGAAGTCATCGTTTTTTAGTGTGTTTGCAGTAAAATCCTGAAATAAGGTCTGCTCTTAAGCTTAAGAAATGTTCCCGTTTTGTTCTACGATATAAAAAACCTCCGTAATACCCCACTCAGGAATCTCCGAAGCTTCTATGAGACATATAAACTGCGGTTGCAAATAAGTGACTAAATAGACTTGTTTTATCCTACCAGAACCGTTAGAGTTGCTACACGGAAAAGTCTCTCCCCCGAATAACTTCCCACACGAGCACACGGCCCCTGTCGCCATGAGGATGCCCCACCTCCCCATCACCGCTACAACCAAGACGGCAGAAATGAAGGGCCCAGACTCTCCCAGCAGCCCTTCTGATTCTCTTTCCTCTCCAGTCTCTGATGACTCACCTACTGGCCAATCAGCTGCTAGCACTAACCGGATCCAACCAATAGAGGAGTTTCCAATTCAACCAGGTGGGTTATGGTATCAGTTCTAACTCTAACTACTCAATGAACAGATGAAAGATTTTACCATCTATACTGATAAGCCATCATAATTTCGCCTTTTCTTCGTGGCTGTTAGTATCTTCTACGTGGACCCCCACACCTATCAGAGCACTGGGATCTCCCCGCCTTCAAGGTGAGACAAGCTTTAATAAGACACACGTGCTACCCTCTTTGACACGATATCATGGATATCATTTACTGACTTGTTGTCTTTTGCAGAGAAAGCAAATTCCGTCCCAGCAAAGTCTGTCACCTACTCAGGACTTGTGCAGCATGACAGGTGAGTGAAAGGTGACTCATGAAACTTTTAGGGTAGTTAAAATGTGTTTGTCTGACCCATCTGTGCTCCCGTCCTGCAGAGACGATGATGTAAGCAGTGACAGATCCTTTGGTCAGGTAGGAGAGAGGAGGCGGGAGCTTGTGAGGTCTCAGACTCTGCCACGTAACATTGGTGCCCAGGCCCGTCGATCTATCTTCGAAAGGCTCGACTCAGAAGCCAATAACAGGTACAAGCAAAGTGCATTTGTGTCATGTTGACAATTATGGTCAATTTCTTACCATTGAAACTCTCTCATGTATACTTTCTCTGTGTCTACTTTTGTACAGTCACCCCAAACCAGTAGACTCTAAACCTAAACTGAAGCGGTCTCAGAGTTTTGGGGTATCCAGCGCCAGCAGCATCAAGCAGATCCTTCTTGAGTGGTGCCGATCCAAGACCATAGGCTACCAGGTAAAGTTATAGACTGTAAGCAAGAAGTATATGCAGTCACTGTGATGTGACCCATTGATCTGACGATAAAAGTTTGGAAGTGTCAAATTTGGCATTTTGGCTCTCTTTATATCAGTTTATTGGAGCCAGAAGTTAATATATTTTGATGAGTGGGTGGAATAGAAAATGCTAAGCTATCAGCTAGCTTGCTTAAATGGCAAGATACATCCATAATGAATTCCTACTGCAAACACAGGGGCAGCAGGTGAACACTATCAGACAATCAGGCACAGAAGGGAAAACACAGGAAGTAAAAACAGGACGAGACACAGGGAGAAAATACATTTCAAAATAAAATTGTAAACTAAAGCACAAAAACTAAGATCATGACAAATAATTGTTTTGTAATAATGCAACTTATACATATAACAGATAAGATTTGACATAATATCAGTGATGCATTGCCTAAATACAATTATTAGGTTTTTTTTGGATAAATTAGAAGTTTGATATCAAACTCAGGTTGTTAAGTTTGTTTATACATTTATACTGGACATTTCAAATATATATTTACTACACTTCTGTTTACATTCAGTTTAGTAATTTGCGATTACTGCCCATTTTGAATAACTTTATTGAAGTTATTTAATCCATTATTGTATCTTACATAATTGTTTTTATTTTTATTGCATTATCTTTGTTTTTTAAATTTTCTATATATAATGAGCATTGTTGGTGGAAACCTGACACTTCAGGTTTTCCTGGCGAACAACTTTGTTTCTGTGCATGTGATAAAAAAACAAACTTGAACCTGCCTCAGGTCCTTAAGGTTAAGCTAGGCTAAATGCTCTCGGCTCCACATCCTTACTTACTGGACAGCCAATAAAGCAAATTAAAATGTTCCCTTAATGTTGAACTATTCCTTAAACAGGGAAACACAATTATACTAGACAAATACTAGAAAACATTCTGAAAGATTTAAAATAACCAAAACAACCAAAGTGTCTGTTTTTCATATAACTTTAACCTGTTAGCACACATTGCGGTAGTGCTAACGTGCTAATTATCTTCCTCTCAACCATAGAGGTGTAGGGAAGTGAGGCTCCTTCAAAACATTGGGGTGTGTGTGTGTGTTTTAGGGGATAAGGGTTAAAATAGTCTCAGTCATGGTTGAGAACGCCGACACATTGCTGCACTCTGGTACCCTTTCCTTCACAGCAGCCTGTGCCAGCCGCTCCATGTGGCTTAGGTTATAGTCAAGCCAGGCAAAGCCAAGACTCTTATTAACTGGGAGCACACACACACGAAAGAGAGAGGGGGTGATGACTTGACAAGTTACGATTTATTTCAAAGCAAACTCCAGACTAATAAAGGGCAGCCTTTGAAATGACATGATTTCAAAAGCATGTAACAGAACCAAAAGCAGGAGAGCAGATGAAGTGGAGGGGAGGAAGTCTGTTCTGTTCATTAGAACTATGGGCTAGACAATGAATGGGGAGATGTTTTAAAAAAAGTTAGAATGACAGTTACCTGTTAGGCCCCAAGCCTGTTTTTCATGTTTCAGGCTCGAAAAATGACATTCCCAGAACAAATGACCATATCTTCCCTTCTAAAAGGGTTAAATTAATAATCTTTTTTCTCAAAGTAATGATAAACCTGTGAGTTGGATGTAGAAAAGTCAGAATCAATATAAATGTTTTTTATTTAAAGAAAATTCAGATTGAACATGGTAAAAAACTAGTAAATTATAGTGTCCGTACCAAAAGATATTTT